TTTTTTAATTTTTTTTTTGGTTACAGTATTATCTGTGCATTTCTCTAATGAATTAATACTTATTTCATTATTATTACTATGTGCACGTCTCAGTTCGTAAATAGCCTTTGTTAAAAAGTTTTTGCAAGTATCTATTACGAGCTTCCTCATCTTCTGGATATTCTTTCGCTTTTTCCTCGTTTGGTAAATAATACATACCATTGAATTTATAGAAGTATTTACCGATAAGACGATTATTAATCCATTCCGGTTCCACAGCCACGACCAAATTTTCTAATAAGAAAACATCGGAGATTATTTTTAATAAATTATTTCTTACTTTATTAACAGAAGAAGGTCTGACGTACCTTGGGCTATATACTGATACGATCCATCATCTGCGAGTACTTCGTAAAATGGTTGCTTTTCACCTTTTTTTAATTCACGTATAGCCATTACAATTGTGGACGATGTTGCTGTGGAGATTGGATCCCACCCTGTTATCACGCATAAAAACTGATGAATTTTATGCTTCATAATCATTCCTATCGCATACAAAACATCCGGCCCTCTCTTTTTCGGTGCTACTTCCTCCTGGAAATAAATATTTGTAGATCTTTACCAATAATAGCAAACAAAAAATTCACAACATTGCGAAACATACTACCACTGGTAACAACTCGTTTTGTCTTCTTTCAAGTTCATAAAAAATTACCCTTGCTTGCCAGCAGTCTGATGATTTCGAGTCCTTAAAGATTTTAATATAACTTTAAATAAAATTCATATATGGATTTTTGTAGTGCATAATGTTAATGCCATGAAGTACCATCTGCAGAGTTCTTAACATATCCGTGAGTTCTGTTAAATCTATATTTTGTTCGACGTATAAGGAACCCAGCTTTAAAATTGGATCGGGATCATTAGGTTGCACCATGTGCCGAAGTTCAAGTGTAGAACGTAATCTTGAGATTCTCCAATTCATATGTGTTTGTTGCCTCACACCTATCTCTAAGTTGCTCGCCATTCTTCTTACTACCTTTTAAAAATTGTTGGAAATTAATTACATTTAGAAAGCAGTGTAAAGTAACAATTACCAATATAAACTCGATACAAACTTCCACGGCTGTCGCTGGCCTATGGACATTATACTTTTCTATCGGACATTTTGAAACGCCACTAATACGGGGACAATTATCCTTGGTTATAAATTCACCGTCATTGAAGACGTCGATATAAAAATTTTCCACATTTTCAGAGTCAGGTCCACTGAAATCAAGTATATTAAAACTAAATAGTATCTGCTAACTTTTTTTTTTATTTCTTTTATTATGTTTTTATATATTACTTGATAACTTACTATGTTTCCTTCCATCGCAGTAAGAAATGGGATGGAAAAATGACTGGTTCGCAACGTACACCGAGTCTTCGAGCAACGCTTTCGAATACTATCGCTAGAGTTATAGGAATACCACGCGTGTGTTCCAAAACCTATATCATAAATAATATTAAATTTCATTTACAAATTACAATAAATTTCATACTTTGAAAGTGACAACTTACACGATCTAGAAATGAATTTTCTGAGGAATAATACATTTCATTACTACCATAAAATCCAAACTTGTAGAATAATACTTTGCATAGTGCATCTGTTATTTGTTTTGTCTCTGGAACGCTCCATTGATTATCATCGATAATGTTATTTTTCCAAAACGCGAATTGTTCTGGTGATGTTGAGAATATGGAATGAGCTGGATAACGCTCTTTGAGTAGTGCTTTGGTTTGCTCTGCAATAGTATCTAACAGAGATAATATATAGGAGTATGTCACATGCCTCTCTGGTTGGCCCCACTGTGCTACAATGGTTGCACCCTTTTCTAAAGTTTGTTCACTTGGTGGTAGAGATATAAACTTCTGCCATTCTTTCTTTAAATGGTTCTGCTTCAAGTATTCAACTACTTTGAGAGCATAATATCTATGTGTTAAATTGTTGGTTCTGAAACATATAACAAAAATTCCATTAATTGGTGTTTCATAAAAGGTTCAAGATATTCTATATATATGTATATATACATCTTATTTGATAATGTTTATGTATTTCCAATTTATCACTTTTATAGTTAATGGATTGATATAATTATACTCACAGTGCAGGGGCTTTAATTAAGCTGATCAGTTCATCCACAAGAAAATAATAAGCAAAGGGGTGAGCACCATCCTCTACACGAAAGAGAGGATCAAACACTTTAAATGCAGAATTTGGTAACTCACCCTGCCTATAGTGTTTACTAGACATTAAGGATAACTGATATAATAATTTTTTTCTGATGTTTAAACTAATCTCAATTTCTTCCTTCCAATTTACAATACAACCTTTTGGTTTATTAGTCCTATATATTTCTTCCAGAATTGGCCATCTAAAATAAAACAGAAAATAATTAAAAAAATGTTTTTAATAATTTTTAATATCATTCCACGCGGAAAAGTACGTTACGTCGTGTTATTGCATTTCATGATAAACAAATCTGCGAAAAAAAGAAAAAAGAACAATTCATCTCGAAAGTTAATACAGTCAATTAAATGGTTCTTCGTGTCATAAAAAACGGTGTTCGGCGTAATCACAGAATACCGAGAATGCCACGACGGTACACAATGTACACAGAAAAGTAGAAAAATCAATAATAACTATATAATTCGACTTTTCGTTTCGCAATGCGATCACAACATTTCCGTTGATCAATAAACCTTGTACCTTTGAAAAAACTTCCTCTTCCACAGTTCATTGTCGTTGTCAATGATTTTATGCAAGTTTTTGCACGTAAAACTGAGATTAATCACATCGGAGAAGCCGAGTTGTTTGTCCTCTAAAATGCGCACGATTATTTCACTAGGTAACGAGTTTATTGTGTAATTTGACATGTTTCCGCGATTTACTGCGACCAGTGGTATCCGCCTGGAGAATACGAGTAAAAAATTCTGTTTCACTGTTTACTTGCGCCGTACGATCGCGATAACCAAAACACACTTTACCGACACGCATCTGCCGTCACACTGATCGCTTCGATGTCAGTAGATTTGTTCACGGATCGGAAGTAGATGCGTGTGATATATAACACGGCAACAAAGGGGGAAAAACACTCGTACTACCTGTTTCCGACGAAACTGTACCGACAACGATCGTTTATTCATCAATGGCACACCAGGAATACTACAGTAGCCAACCGAAACGGAATTTTTAATTGGCAGACTTACATCTCCTATACAAACTTTTGCGTATATATACAACAGTGGTATAGCGCTTATACGCGGAGAATTTCATCTTTCCAATGCGACGAAACCCAATACTCATTTACATCCTTCCCGTATAGAGGGAGTAACGTTATTCCACTCTGAAGTTCTACCATCTATACCCAACGCGTGAACGCGGGAAAAAAATCGTTTGCAAGTTACCACCTTGAATTGTAACCTGCGAGGCTCACTTCGCTCGTTACATTTAAATTGCCATTAGTAATTAACGCGATCTCGTGTTTCGCTCGAGGGAATTATTCGAATATTCTCATTTCTTGTAATCATAATTGAAGATACTATAATTTCACGTTATAAAACCGACGATTTATTTTATAACATTCTCCGTCGGCAATGAAGATTCTGCTACAAGATTAAAGAGCATCGAGTCGACACGGTTTGACACGAATGACAAGATGTTTGATCTTGTCTTGTATCTTGGCTATGTTCCGATTAGGAATTCTGGCCCTCTATAGTTAACTCGATGAAACGGTTGGTAACCCTCTAACGACTAGTTCGGGAACCGTTTGACACAACTTATTAGATAAGCAACGCGTGAAATGATTGCGACTCCATCTAATTGCAGCGTTGTTCGTGGCGAGTCGGCGAAGAAGCAAGGCTCGTCCTGACTTCGCCGGAGCCGCAAAATAGTTGTCAAAATGGCGGGCGAAGGTTCTGCAAGTGTAAATCCGAATTGCGAGGTCGTTCGCGGGCAAACGTTCGAGGTTGGTCCTCGATACACGAATTTGTCGTACATGGGTGAGGGTGCCTATGGGATGGTCGTGTAAGTGTCTTTGAGTCACTTCTCCTAGTTAATGACGAGAACTTCCGACCGCGTATCGACTGGCTGACAGGCCGAAAGATAAACAATCAGAAATACAGTTGTCACGCGAATCACCGGTTCCACAGTGGGATTCCCGTTCTCCGATGCGTATTGATGGTTTTATTTCTGTCCTGACATCATGTGCATCCGCTATTAAGCGCTACTCATCGTTATGTATTGTCGTCTTTTGGCGCCAGTTTTAAACGTGATTGTCACACCCTTTCGAACCCTTCGTCACTTGCGTGTTGGCGTCACAGTTTCCTTGTTTCCTGTTTCTTATCACTCGCTTATCATTCTTATCGATACACGTTAACGAGATCACGTTTACTTTTAGAAACGCCATAGTTACAGCAAATGTCTTCCGACCGATGGATTTATGATTATTTTTTCCTTTTTTCTTTTAAATATATGATTTACCGTTCGACGATATTTAGGTTCCTTTTGACAGTGGAATATTATATGATTTCCTTGATGGTTGAAATGTAGAATTTCTTAGTTGAAATGTAGAATCTATCATTTTGGTAGTGTTAGCAGTTTTATTGGAATGGTAATGTGATGATAATAATAATAATAACGGTTCTTTTATGCGGTCAACTATTTTCTGTATTGTGGTCATTAATCAGGGCTTATCAGATAACATTCCTGAAGTAAAGTAGGATAACTGTGATTAAATGTCAAAGAAGTTTGTGACATAGAATTTTGTTTTTACAGATCTGCTTACGATAATGTAACAAAAACAAAGGTAGCTATTAAAAAAATTTCACCTTTCGAACATCAAACGTATAGCCAGAGAACTTTGAGGGAAATAAAAATTCTGACCAGGTTTAAGCATGAAAATGTGAGTTCTCGACGAGCCACTTGTAATACGGATGTTTTAATCTATATTGAATTATTATGTCTTTTTTACAGATAATAGATATAAGGGATATATTAAGGGCACCTACCATAGAACAAATGAAAGATGTATATATTGTTCAATGCCTGATGGAAACTGATCTCTATAAACTTCTTAAAACGCAGGTTAGCATAATAACATGGTTATTTATAGTTGGGAATAACGGTGGATTTAAATTCCCTTCAAATTTCAGGCTATTAGTAACGATCATATATGCTATTTTCTTTACCAAATACTACGAGGATTAAAATACATTCACTCTGCAAACGTGTTGCACAGAGACTTGAAACCAAGCAACCTTCTCTTGAATACCACATGTGACCTTAAAATCTGTGACTTTGGTTTGGCTAGAGTAGCTGATCCAGAGCACAATCATGCTGGCTTCCTTACAGAATACGTAGCGACAAGATGGTACAGAGCTCCTGAAATAATGCTCAATTCCAAGGTACGAATCCATGAAATCTATTGTACAGCATCGATTGCTACATTGGCAATTGTATTGTAGCTTATCGTTTCATTTCGCAGGGCTATACTAAGTCTATAGACATCTGGTCGGTTGGTTGCATACTTGCGGAAATGCTATCAAGACGAGCAATATTTCCGGGTAAACATTACTTAGACCAATTGAACCATATATTGGGAGTCCTTGGTTCACCATCTGCCGAGGATCTTGACTGCATCGTTAACGAAAAGGTATAAATCGTTCCTTCTCGTCCGTTACGTGTTCCAGGATTCATTTGATCGATGACTAATATACTCTTTGTTCCAGGCACGTAATTACCTTCAGTCATTACCATTCAAACCAAAGGTTCCATGGACGACACTTTTCCCCAACGCTGATCCACGAGCTTTAGATCTTTTAGATAAAATGTTGACGTTTAATCCTAACAAGCGAATCGTCGTGGAGGATGCACTCGCGCACCCCTACTTAGAACAATATTACGATCCTTCTGACGAGGTACACAGTCGCTCAATAAGCCTGAATCAAGCGAAACGTCTGTGACGCGTATAAATGTGACGGTTAAGCATATAAATGATTTCAGCCTGTCGCGGAAGAGCCATTTAAATTTGACATGGAGCTAGACGATCTTCCGAAGGAAGTTTTGAAGCAATACATCTTCGAAGAAACTCTCCTGTTCCAAAAGAATCACCAGGAGAATGCTATGTAGTCTACTGGTACCGACGTTCTCACTACACTCAAACGATTCCACAGTGATCGGCATTTAAAAAACGATAACGATAACACGTTTCAGCTGCAACGGGTGTGCAGGATGACCAAAAAGGGTGCGAGGACGAGGTGTCATAATAACAGAAGTGTACTTCATTTACAGTTGTTCACTCGATCGAATATATGTGAAGAAAAGAGAAGCTCTTCGAACGCGACACCGATCGAGAAGTAATGGTCGATCCAGCGGTTTAACGGGCGAGAGAGGAATGGTGAATGAGGTAAAGCAAACAAACAAACAAACAAACAAACAAAAAAAACGACAAAACTACGAATAACAGAGAAAAAAAGAAAGAGAACAAAAGAGAAACCGCAGTGACCGCGCGCATAACACACTTGTACATTCGCATGTCCTTTACCGGAAGAATACAAAATACAGTGTTTCTTTTTTTTTGTTACATTGAACGCATAATATTAATTTGTACAATATAACTTTTATTTATCCTGAATTTATATAGGTGAACGCTAGTTGACGATTATATATTGTTGATCACCGTCATACATTGTCTGTGATTTAAT